ATCTTTACCTTGCTGATAAAATATTGAGATAGGGAGCTTACCCTCATAGTCTTAAGACAAGGAATCGGTTAACAAAACTCACATTAAATTCTAATGACAATGAGGAGACTTCTGAGAAGAGATAAAGGAAGGAGAAAAATTCAAACAAGTACAAATAAAAACAGAGAGAGAGAGAGAGAGAGAGAGAGAGAGAGAGAGAGAGAGAGAGAGAGAGAGAGAGAGAGAGAGAGAGAGAGAGAGAGAGAGAGAGAGAGAGAGAGAGAGATGAAGGAATAGGAAAGGGAGGGTGGGGAAGAGGCAGGAAAGATGCTATGTGTGTTTGAGTGTGAGTATGAATATGTGCATGTGTGTGCACATGTGTTTGAGTGAGTGAGTGAAAAAGTGTGTATGATAATTTTCTCCCACCAGACATAGAATGATTTCATTCTCTCTTGGCATGATTTAAAAAAATGCTAAATCTTTAACTTATTATGATTTTATTTATGTATGTATGTATGTATGTATGTATGTATGTATGTATGTATGTATGTATGTGTATGTATGTGTATGTATGTGTATGTGTATGTGTATGTATGTGTATGTATGTGTATGTATGTGTATGTGTGTGTGTGTGTGCATGTGTGTGTGTGTAAAGCTACTTGATAAGCTGTGTGAATGTGAGACAGTGTATGGGTGAACATAAGAATGCGCAACATGTTCTCAGGTAAGTGTGATTTTTGTGTTTTTGGATGAATATACTATGTTTTTTCTACAAGACAGATTACGTGCCTATTTTGTAAGTAAAAATCATGTACACTTGTTAGTGTTCATCTTACAAGCAGTACTAACTGTGAAAATAGATCTATGATAATTTTCTCCCACTAGACATAGAATAAAGCCTGATGTGATTTTATTCTCTCCTGGCATGATTTTAAAAAATGCTAAAGCTTTCCCTTATTAGGGTTTTATGCTTTCATCTAATACCTTAAAATGCAGTTTATGTAAGTTATTATCATTATTTTTAAAAATTTTAATTAGCATCCTAGCAGACTACCATCATACTTCAAAGGAGAAAAGCTGAAATCCTAGACCTCTAATACTCATTACCTTTGACCATGACTTGCTGCATCAACTCCAAAGAGGTCGTTCCCAAACAATGGGTTGCAGTCCTAGCAGAAGGGTCACGAAGCCTTTGGAGATAAATATTGTAGGCCAATTCGCTAGGTGTTCCTCACCTTTCATATTAAGAACATACAACAGACTTGTGTCTCTAAGGAATATTGTATTACAATTAGGTAAGCAGAGATTGTACAAATTTCTTTAATGTATTTCTACTATCTCCCTTAACCTAAAATATGGTTACATTAGGACAATAAAAATGGGGAAAAAGAAGAATATTAGTTAACCTTAATGTTGAATCAGTTGTATGGATAATACTATTTTTTCTGAAAAAATTACTATTGCACATCAATAATTATTCTCGAGAATTGATCAGTATGTCACTAACTGTAAAACTTCTTAGTCAGAAGTTTGGTAAACCCAGCATATCCTTCAAGATATGAAATCATTATTCACATACAAACAGCCCTTTTTCCATGGGAAAAACAGGCAAAATGTTAAAGCACCCTTAGAGGACTTACAGCAGGACATTACAAATCGATTCACAGAATAATATTCATCTCTTTAACATCACCATCTTTATATGCAATCACAGTAATTTAGCCACAACCTTTATCATTATGATTATGCTCAATTCACTTGTTCTGTTTAGATGTACAGAGAACAATTTACATGTATAAAAAACATCTTATGATGTATTATCATTGAGGATTTTGGCAGAGTGATTCCTAACTAAATTTAGTGTTTTCTAACCTCAAGGAAATGAGACTGCACAAGGCCTTGGAACAGGACCAGAAATCACCATTCTACTTTTCGAAACATTACAAAAATGTTTAGAAAATATTTAAGAGAACAATTGAGAAGTGCACACAAAGTTAATATAGAGCCTCCATGTTAACTTATTTAACAATGCACTAATTACAATAACCTGCAATTAATGGAAAGCACTACTGAGATTAAGAAGCTCATCTACTGTAGTAACATTGAACTTCAAATACTGCAAAGTCACTATGACTTTTTCAAATTACAGCAGGCAATAAGAAAAGCAAAAACAAGGTTTTTTTATGCAAGTGAGACAATGTTAAAGGCTTGATGCAGACAAAAATAAGGCACATACTTCAAGGCCTCGGCTCGTGCACAAAACTTTGTCTGAATAAAAGTGAGAAAGGAATAAAGGTCTTTTGAATTCTCTGTGATGAATATGAGCAAGTGAAAGTTATTCCTTTGTGTATACTTGAACAAGAGATAACAAATCACACTGGCACAAGCACCACCATTGTACATTACACAGAAACAACTAAATTTCAAAAAAATTAAATTATAGAATGATTGATATAATCCTGCCACAAATGGACTATGCACCTTTGAATTCATGTAAAAGTTTTCCCTAATATTCAAATGAAAGGTGCTTTATTCTTTTAACATACTACCTATGGTTCATGAGCAACAAATCTGCAAAGAGTTGCAACAGATTAGAAAATGTGAAAAGCAATCATTGTACCTGGTTAATGAGCGGTGAAAAAACAATTACTGATTTCTTGATGTGTCACTATAAAATCACTATATGAATGTTTTCCTTTGCCATTAAACCAATGGTGCTGGGTATGTACACTATCTACTATTGTTTTCTTTTGAGAGCTTTGTTTGCACATTGTTGGCTCCACAAATGTTCAGCCACCAAGGAGCCAATTAGTAACTTTATGTGTCCTTAACTGATTTCCCCTTTCCTTGAGTTTTCAGGATAATTTTTTTCTTCTAATGCTATTTATATTGGTATTGTTATTACTGTTGTTGACATTGTAATTATTTTAATGCTAATAACAGCACTAATAGCAATAAAAAATAAAAGAGAATTTTTCCAAAAATGAAGGAAATGGGGAAGTAGGTGAGCTAGGTAGGCCTTAGTAGTTGACTCCATTGTAGTTAAGCACTTATGGAAACCATCTATGTGTAAAGACAATCACTAAACAAAAAGACACAGTGGACATGGCATGTATTCTTGTCATCCCGTCACCACTGGGTTAAGACGTCCTTAAACTTATTGTAACTTTGCAGGAATTATGAAAAATCTCCAGCCCGTTTTGGTTTTCTGCCCTATATAGACTTATTTATTTTATTCTCATTTTTTTCTTGAGGCACTAAAAAGTCACAGAATAAAATGTCACTAGAGGTAGCCTATGTTCTGGTAATATGGACTAATGTTTAGCAAATGATGCTCCAAAGAGTTAGGGACCTAAGCTAAATTCATTACTGCCATAATTTCACTGCAGTAACAGTAAAGCTATATTGCAGAAAAGAAAATGTATAAAGAAATGTAACAAAATTAATCACACAGGGGATTAAACTCAGAAATAGTAGGATGTGAAAAAGGGAGTGTAAATTGTACAAAGGAGACCAAACCACACAGCAAAAAGGTATGCTAAGGACCTCCTCCTTCACAAATAAACTACATTTGGCTGCAATTCTAGCTCCTCCTGGATTTCATTACCGAGTGGAACATTTCACTCAACCAAGAAGAGTTTCATGAGCACCATAGAATCCTGAAGTCACTCTCAAATCATAATTCTCTTCCAATGAAACTGCAAACAAGTCCTTTAATGTAAGTTCATTCTTTATCAAAGAATGGATTTGGTGATATGTTTTTATTGCAATTATAGCAGCAGGAAAAATCTTAAGTTACGACAAACTTCTCCTAGGACAGAAGTATGTGGTGATAACTCGCACCTTCCTGATTAAAGCATCTACTGTCAAATCCTCTTCCTCTGACTATTATACTTCTTTGATGACAATACAGGAACAGAAGTCAGTCTTACATATATTTCTATTATATAAAAAAAAATTGATTTACTACTCCAATTTTGAAACTAACAATATTGTCAAAAGGCCAACATTATGAGTATGATAAACCAAATATTTCAAAGTATTAAATCAATACTTACCATGTACTATTAAATAGGAACTAATTATATATTATCATTTCATATTAAGGAACATTCTTTTATCAATTGACAAATATAAACTAAAATTTTCAATAATTTTCAATCATAAAAAAACCTTAGCTTATAATACCTAAAGATATAAACCAAAAACCTATTATTTTGGTTTACTCAACTTCTAGCATATTTACAAAGATTATTCAATCCTATTTAGTCAAAGTTACAACTTGTATCTCATACAGTACATTGTATTTAAGATCCAGCATTCAAAATACAAGAAAAATCCTTAATCTAAACAACTTTAAAAAGTGTAGCTACACCCAGTGTATCATACTACAATCATTTAAATAAATATCTAAAGGCAGTTATAGAAATTCTGTATAAAAGGCACTTAATGTACATATTGTGCATGTAATCTCTTAAATATTTGTTCATTTATATGCATGTCAATTATTCTTTAAGACAACAAGATACATTGCTCCCTATCTTACACATATCTTTTGTTGCTTAAAGAACATTAAAGACAACCTCACACAGTTGTTGGTGATATAGAAAAATAAGAAACATATCATTCATAAAATATAGGGAAGATATAAAGAAAAATAGTGAGAGTTAAAGAAATGTACAGCTTCAGTTTTTGAAGAACTTACTTGCATTCAAAAATGCAATGTAAAGTAATGCCCCTTCCTAGATGGGTTAGGAGAACTCAGTGAACACAACTCAGGTAGAAGAGATGCAAACAAAAGAAGATGATAAAGAAGGAGGGGAAGGGAAAATCACACACACGAAAAAAAAAAGAAAAAAAAAATCCCCTGAAACACTTATAAATAAAATGCAATGGATTTCAGTGAATCCAGTCTTGACATTACAGCTAAGTTACTAAACATTAATTGATAAGATGTGAATTCTTCTTCCGGTACAAGAAGCACTGCGCAAGCACCGCTATGTCAATGCAGATCTGCAGGC